AGCCTAATTCGGATAGTTGCATTTCGAAACTAGCATCTTGACTTATGTTAAAGTACTTATTAAGCTGCCCGAGCATGGCAAGGTAGCAACCGTGGCGAGCAAGATTTCGTGTTCCCAAAAGCGAAGACGCAAGGCGTATATCACACCACACAATTGAAACCTGACAGAGTTCTTAGTAAACCAACGTAATGTTTTATAGGTTTGAAAGTGCAGATTGTTATGAATAATATAACTATTATAGTTTTACTACTTATACTTTATGTCTACACTTTACAAACTTCCCTCGCATTTAATATTAAATCAAACACACACTACAAACATGATCAATTTAAGTAATAATTTAAAAAAAAACGCTATAGCTGTGGCAATAATTTGGCCCCAAACGTCGTATGATAAGTAATATATGCGCTTATTAGAAAAAGTGTATAATTTTTTATTAGTTAATTATAAAAACCCCGCGTTCAATAAGCAACAAGATTGTTAAACTAACAATAACAACAACATCAACTATTAATAATTCAGTTAAGATATTAGAATAGAATATTATTTCCGTCTAGAACAAATATAGTGTTTTTTTTTTCTAACCAAAAAAAAAGAAAATAAAGAAAGAGTGCAATATTTAAAACAAAGCAAAAGCTAAATATAACTTTTAAATTTTAAAAACGATCTTCAACAGATTTCTAATTTATATGTATATTTATAAAATCGCCTGTTATTTGTTTATTATTATTATTGTTAAACAGCGTTAGAAAACCGACAACAAATACAAACTCACGTACACTACTCACTAGTGAGGTACGCGCCATTTGAAAAAAACAACAACAAATTAAAAAAAATTATATTGAGCATTCAAAAACTATTGTTGGCGTGTGTGTGTGTGCTTGCTAGTAAAGAGTGAGTTTTGAAGAGACATGGCTAGATAAGGTCGGTCTAGTGGAAATTTTATTACGCAAGGAATCAAAAAATCTACTACTATTATAGTCTTTCTATATACAAAATAAAACAAAACAAATCATAGTTAACTAACATTTAAAGACTAAACATGTGTACAGCGACGAACACGAACACAACGACGACTCAAACAATGTTGCAAGAACTAATAGAAACAGGTACAAAATTTTAATTGAAATCTTTAAAAAAAAACAAAACAATTGTTTTTTTCTTACATTAATTTTATAAACAAAAACATTAATTTAATTTTATTTTCTCTTTTTCTTTTTTAGCTATGCCCTGGTTTGGCATGGATATCGGTGGCACTTTAACGAAATTGGTGTATTTTGAACCCAAAGATATTACACCCGATGAACAAGATCAAGAGGCCGAAAGTTTAAGAAGCATTAGACGTTATTTAACTAAAAATTCAGCCTATGGCAAAACAGGTCATAGAGATACACATTTACAGGTGAGTAAAAAATAAACAAAGCAATTTATTAAAGCTAAAGAGCAGGAATGGAAAACTAAGTACTTTAGTACTTTTTTAAATCGAGAAATGCGCTGGTACTTCCATGACATTTTTGGTACTTTTTCTAACTTGCAAACTTTTGATAAATAGCACACATAGTAGTCTATCGTCTAGACTATATGTAGGCTGTAGCGAAGTCTACAGTCTAGTCCATATTCTAGTCAATAATCTAGAATATAGACTAGTCTATAGTGTAGTCTAAAGTGTAGCCTAAAGTGTAGTCTATAGTGTAGTCTACAGTCTAGACTATAGTCTAGTTTATAGTCTAGTCTAGTCTATAGTGTAGTCTATAGCCTAGTCTATAGTCTAGTCTATAGTCTAGTCTATAGTCTAGTCTATAGTCTAGTCTATAGTCTAGTCTATAGTCTAGTCTATAGTCTAGTCTATAGTCTAGTCTATAGTCTAGTCTATAGTCTAGTCTATAGTCTAGTCTATAGTCTAGTCTATAGTCTAGTCTATAGTCTAGTCTATAGTCTAGTCTATAGTCTAGTCTATAGTCTAGTCTATAGTCTAGTCTATAGTCTAGTCTATAGTCTAGTCTATAGTCTAGTCTATAGTCTAGTCTATAGTCTAGTCTATAGTCTAGTCTATAGTCTAGTCTATAGTCTAGTCTATAGTCTAGTCTATAGTCTAGTCTATAGTCTAGTCTATAGTCTAGTCTATAGTCTAGTCTATAGTCTAGTCTATAGTCTAGTCTATAGTCTAGTCTATAGTCTAGTCTATAGTCTAGTCTATAGTCTAGTCTATAGTCTAGTCTATAGTCTAGTCTATAGTCTAGTCTATAGTCTAGTCTATAGTCTAGTCTATAGTCTAGTCTATAGTCTAGTCTATAGTCTAGTTTATAGTCTAGTCTATAGTCTAGTCTATAGTCTAGTTTATAGTCTAGTTTATAGTCTAGTCTATAGTCTAGTCTATAGTCTAGTTTATAGTCTAGTCTATATTCTAGTCTACAGTCTAGTCTATAATCTAGTCTATAGTCTAGTCTATAGTCTAGTCTATAGTCTAGTCTATAGTCTAGTCTATAGTCTAGTCTATAGTCTAGTTTATAGTATAGTCTATAGTCTAGTCTATAGTCTAGTTTATAGTGTAGTCTATAGTCTAGTCTATAGTCTGGTTTATAGTCTAGTATATAGTCTAGTCTATAGTCTAGTCTATATTCTAGTCTATAGTCTTGTCTATAGTCTAGTCTATAGTCTAGTCTATAGTCTAGTCTATAGTCTAGTCTATAGTCTAGTCTATAGTCTAGTCTATAGTCTAGTCTATAGTCTAGTCTATAGTCTAGTCTATAGTCTAGTCTATAGTCTAGTCTATAGTCTAGTCTATAGTCTAGTCTATAGTCTAGTCTATAGTCTAGTCTATAGTCTAGTCTATAGTCTAGTCTATAGTCTAGTCTATAGTCTAGTCTATAGTCTAGTCTATAGTCTAGTCTATAGTCTAGTCTATAGTCTAGTCTATAGTCTAGTCTATAGTCTAGTCTATAGTCTAGTCTATAGTCTAGTCTATAGTCTAGTCTATAGTCTAGTCTATAGTCTAGTCTATAGTCTAGTCTATAGTCTAGTCTATAGTCTAGTCTATAGTCTAGTCTATAGTCTAGTCTATAGTCTAGTCTATAGTCTAGTCTATAGTCTAGTCTATAGTCTAGTCTATAGTCTAGTCTATAGTCTAGTCTATAGTCTAGTCTATAGGCTAGTCTATAGTCTAGTCTATAGTCTAGTCTATAGTCTAGTCTATAGTCTAGTCTATAGTCTAGTTTATAGTATAGTCTATAGTCTAGTCTATAGTCTAGTTTATAGTCTAGTTTATAGTATAGTCTATAGTCTAGTTTATAGTCTAGTCTATAGTCTAGTCTATAGTCTAGTCTATAGTCTAGTCTATAGTCTAGTTTATAGTATAGTCTAGTCTATAGTCTGGTTTATAGTCTAGTCTATAGTCTAGTCTATAGTCTAGTCTATAGTCTAGTCTATAGTCTAGTCTATAGTCTAGTCTATAGTCTAGTCTATAGTCTAGTCTATAGTCTAGTCTATAGTCTAGTCTATAGTCTAGTCTATAGTCTAGTCTATAGTCTAGTCTATAGTCTAGTCTATAGTCTAGTCTATAGTCTAGTCTATAGTCTAGTCTATAGTCTAGTCTATAGTCTAGTCTATAGTCTAGCTATAGTCTAGTCTATAGTCTAGTCTATAGTCTAGTCTATAGTCTAGTCTATAGTCTAGTCTATAGTCTAGTCTATAGTCTAGTCTATAGTCTAGTCTATAGTCTAGTCTATAGTCTAGTCTATAGTCTAGTCTATAGTCTAGTCTATAGTCTAGTCTATAGTCTAGTCTATAGTCTAGTCTATAGTCTAGTTTTATAGTCTAGTCTATAGTCTAGTCTATAGTCTAGTTTATAGTCTAGTCTATAGTCTAGTCTATAGTCTAGTCTATAGTCTAGTTTATAGTCTAGTCTATATTCTAGTCTACAGTCTAGTCTATAATCTAGTCTATAGTCTAGTCTATAGTCTAGTCTATAGTCTAGTCTATAGTCTAGTCTATAGTCTAGTCTATAGTCTAGTTTATAGTATAGTCTATAGTCTAGTCTATAGTCTAGTTTATAGTGTAGTCTATAGTCTAGTCTATAGTCTGGTTTATAGTCTAGTCTATAGTCTAGTCTATAGTCTAGATTATAGTCTAGTTTATAGTCTAGTTTATAGTCTAGTCTATAGTCTAGTCTATAGTCTAGTCTATAGTCTAGTCTATAGTCTAGTCTATAGTCTAGTCTATAGTCTAGTCTATAGTCTAGTCTATAGTCTAGTCTATAGTCTAGTCTATAGTCTAGTCTATAGTCTAGTCTATAGTCTAGTCTAGTCTAGTCTATAGTCTACTCTACAATCTCACTATAGTCTAGTCTGTAGTCTAGTCTATATTCTAGTCTGTAGTCTAGTCTATATTCTAGTCTGTAGTCTAGTCTGTAATCTAGTCTATAATCTAATCTAAAATCTGATTTAGATTAAAGTCTAGTCTTTAGTATAGTGCAAAACTGGTTTAGTACTTTTAAATCCAAAAAAGTACTCTTTTTGTTAGAAGTTCCTACTATTTCAAAATTTCTATTTTCCATGCCTGCTAAAGAGTATCAGAAAGAGAAAGAGAGAGAGGGAGAAAAAGAGTGCTTTTGTTACCAGAGTTTTTGTTTTAGTTTAGTACAAAGTCTAGTTTGTGATTTTATTTGTTTCTTTCTTTCATTTTTGTTTTTTTTTTTTTAATTCATAATTTTAAAAAAATTCAAAAGTTTGCATTTCGAAATGTTGTAATTTGCGTGTTTTGTATTTATTTATTTACTTTTTTTTATTGTTTAATACTTTGTTTAAAATAAACTTGTTAAATTATAAAACGTGTTAACTTGACCTTCGTGTAAAGCCAAAATAAATACGTTAGAAATTTTATTCAAATCAATTGTTTGTTATATATTTTTTTTTTTTTTTGTAAATGCTCATTAGTTGTCGTTTTTATTTGAATTTGAATGTTAGGGAGTGCAGTTTTGTTTATAGGGAGTTTACAAAAAAATATGTTGTTTTAAGTTGGTTTTACTCTCAAAAGGGAAATGCTATTATTAATCATGAAAGGAGGACTAAATTGAGGATTTTGTACCAAATAAAGATTTCCGATCACAAATAAGTTTTTTTTACCAAAATGTAGTTTTTGTATCAGTTTCGGAATTTGTACCAAAATTAAGATTTGTACCAAATAAGGATTTTCTATCCCAACTAAGTTTTTGTACTAAAATGAAGATTTCGTACCCAATTAGGAATTTGTACCAAAATGAAGATTTTGTTTTAAAATAAGAATTTCGTACCAAAATAAAACTGAATGATTGCTTTAAAATTCTATTAAAAACTATTTCGCTAATTCTCTAGATTCCATAGAGTCTTTTCATGCAATTCTCTATAAATTTTGTAAAAATTATAAAGTACAATTTCAATTGTTTTTCAGCACATGCGATTTAATTTATAGAAAAAAAGTATATTCTTTAACAAATTAGCTTGCTAACCCTTAAACTTGCTTAAATACAATACAAAAGCTGAGACTTTGATACTTTATTTAAATTTATTAAGTACATAACAACAATTATTTTTAAACAAAAACTTATAGCAAACAGTACACAGGGAATTTTGTCCATTTGAATATGTGTGTATAAATGAATGAATATGACGAACGACAGTGTTTTGAGGTTTTGCTAACGTCAGTAATATATGAATTCCTAAATGTAAAGACTCCAAATTGTTTTTAAATAATAAATAAATATAATTACGTTCGCCTAAAAAAAAACTAGCCAGGGCAATGAGCTTGATTTTTTCTTTACTTTAGTTATTATTAAATAATTTTATTTGCATATTTATTTAGTTATTTTAAAAAATGAGGGGTTTTAAACTATTTTAGATGTTTGTACATACTTTTGTTTTCTAAACTCAATGAAAGAAATAACACTTATGTTTACGGCTGAGGTTTTAACCTTAAACAGCTTTTAATAACTTTTTTGGAAGCGATAATTAAAATGATGTTAATGATAAATTTAGAGAAAAAAGTTAGGGTAAAGTTCAAAATGTTATTAGAATGCTAGTTTATACTTTGTAATATAGACAGACTCTTCTATAGTCGAGTCTATAGCGAAGACTTATAAACTTATCAACATTGCAGACAGTAAACTGCAGAATAGAGACTGATTTATAGTAGAGACTGGAGACTGTGGATTGCTCTATAATCTTGGCTATATACTGATCTAGTTTGTTATATAATTTGTAATATAGACAGACTCTTCTAGTCGAGTCTATAGCGAAGACTATAGTCTACTCTATACCAAAGGTTATAAACAGAGAGTAAACTGTAGAATAGAGACTGATTTGTAGTCGAGACTGAAGACTGTGGATTGGTCTATGACCCTGATTATATACTGATCTAATCTATAGCCTGATCTATACTCCAAATTATAAAACGATATTTAGTTCAGACTACATACTGATCTACAGTCTAGACTTTAAATTGATCTATAGTCAAAACTATAGACTGTTCTACAGTCCAGACTATGGACTGTTCTACAGTCAAGACTATAAACTGATCTGTAGTCTATACTATTGTTCTATAGTCCAAACTATTGACAATTCTATAGTCCAGACTATAGACTAATCTATAGTGCAGACTGTAGACTGATCTATGGTCCAGACTATAGAATTATCTATAGTCCAGACTATAGAATTATCTATAGTCCAGACTATAGAATTATCTATAGTCCAGACAATAGAATTATCTATAATCCAGACTATAGAATTATCTATAGTCCAGACTATAGAATTATCTATAGTCCAGACTATAGAATTATCTATAGTCCAGACTATAGAATTATCTATAGTCCAGACAATAGAATTATCTATAATCCAGACTATAGAATTATCTATAGTCCAGACTATAGAATTATCTATAGTCCAGACTATAGAATTATCTATAGTCCAGACTATAGAATTACCTATAGTCCAGACTATAGAATTATCTATAGTCCAGACTATAGAATTATCTATAGTCCAGACTATAGAATTATCTATAGTCCAGACTACAAACTGATCTATAGTACAAACTATAGGCTGATCTATAGTCCAGACTATAGACTGATCTAGAGTCCAGACTATAGACTGATCAATAGTCCAGACTATAGATTAAACTTTAGTCCAAACTATAGACTGAACTATAGTCCAGACTATAGATTTATCTATAGTCCAGACTATAGATTTATCTATAGACCAGATCATAGATTTATCTATAGACCAGACTTTAGACTGATTTATAGTCCAGACTATAGGCTGATCTATAGTCCAGACTATAGACTGATCTACAGTCCAGACTATAGACTGATCTATAGTCCAGACTATAGACTGATCTATAGTCCAGACTATTGACTGATCTATAGTCCAGACTATAGACTGATCTATAGTCCAGACTATAGACTGATCTATAATCCAGACTATAGGCTGATCTATAGTCCAGACTATAGACTGATCTAGAGTCCAGACTATAGACTGATCAATAGTCCAGACTATAGATTAAACTTTTGTCCAAACTATAGACTGAACTATAGTCCAGACTATAGATTTATCTATAGACCAGACTATAGATTTATCTATAGACCAGACTATAGACTGATCTAGGGTCCAGATAATAGTCTGATCTAGATCCAGACTATAGATTGATCTATAGTCCAGACTATAGATTGATCTATAGTCCAGACTATAGACTGATCTATAGTCGAGACTATAGACTGATCTATAGTCCAGACTATAGGCTGATCTATAGTCCAGACTATAGGCTGATCTATAGTCCAGACTATAGGCTGATCTATAGTCCAGACTATAGATTGATCTATAGTCCAGACTATAGACTGATTTATAGTCCAGACTATAGACTGATCTATAGTCCAGACTATAGATTGACCTATAGTACAGATTGATCCATACTCAAGACTATAGGATAATCTATGGTCGAGATTACTATATAGATGGATCTATAGTCAAGTCTACAGTCCACTCTCCACATCCGATAATACCTATTGTATACAATTGGACTTTGTTTTTATAAAAATTGATCGCAAAACATTTACCTTTTTAAAAATAAAGAAAAATTGCCAAAAATTTGTTAAAATATTTTGCAGACTAATGGAAATATTTCTTACAAATCTTATCAAGTTTGACTGAGACTTTTTAACAAAAAAAAAAACACATTATCATTTAAAGAACTCATTTAAATCGAACCACTAATACAAAGAGGTATGAATGACTTGACGAAATATGACTTAAATGATTTAATAATTAAAATAAAATAATAATAAACTTAATAAAAATAATAATGATGAATAAAATTAATAAATAAATATGATTAAAATATATGCAACAGAAATCAAATAAGTATAAACCAAAACCCTTGACTTATCTATTTTTGTATTAGAATTTATTATATGAAAATTTTAATCTTTTTAGATGGACAATGTGGAAATACGTAAACGTACTGGTTCGTTGCATTTTATACGTTTTCAAACCACAGATATGGGTAACTTTTTATCACTGGCCAAACAAAAGGGTATGGCTGAATTGGTAACCACTGTCTGTGCTACCGGAGGAGGAGCTTATAAATTTGAAAATGATTTTCGTGAGGTGTGTTTGTAAGAAATATTTTTTTTACATATGAAATTATTATAAATTTTTGTTAATTTTTTTTATTCCAGCAAGTCAATATGAAATTGGCTAAATTTGATGAATTGGATACTTTAATTAAAGGCATATTATTTTCCGAAATACAAAATCGTACAGAATGTTATTATTATGAAAATGCCCGGGATATAATGTAAGTTTGGGGGGTTAGTTACTATTTAAAATAAATGAAAATGTAATTAAATTTCTTATTTTTAGGAAAAGCGAGAAAAAAGCTTTTGATTTTTCTCAACCTTATCCCTTTATATTGGTTAATGTGGGCTCTGGTGTTTCCATATTAGCTGTGTATGGTCCTGATAACTATAAACGTGTATCGGGTACTAGGTAGGTTTTTGTTTTATGAAATAGTTTAACAAAATTTTCATTAACTTTTTCTTTTCTTTTAGTTTGGGTGGTGGTACATTCCTGGGCTTGTGTTGCCTTTTAACAGGCTGCACTACTTTTGAAGAGGCCATACAATTGGCCACCAAAGGCGATAATCGCAAAGTAGATAAATTGGTGCGTGATATTTATGGTGGAGACTATGATCGTTTTGGTTTGACTGGAGATTTAGTGGCTTCCAGGTAGTTATTTAATGATTTAACTAAACTTGATTGTTTTTAATATCATTTTGTTCTTTTTCTAAGCTTTGGCCAAATGCATATACAAGATAAACGAGCCTCTGTCTCCCGCGAAGATCTTGCCAATGCCACTTTAGTAACTATAACCAATAATATTGGTTTAATAGCTCGCATGTGTGCACTCAATGAAAAAATCGATAAGGTTAGTATACAATCAATTATTTTTTTATGCATTTATTGTTTATATTGTTTTATGGGAAATTTTTTTATTATTATCTGAATTTCCTTGGTTAAAGAGTAATAAAGGCAAGATAAGTAGGTTTGTTTTCGTATTAAAACTTAGATAAATGTTATTTAGGAATATTTTAAATTATTTTGGTTAAATTTTTTTATATATTTATATATAGAATGGAATCTATTGATAATTTAATAGCGTTGAAATTTACGTCAGTTCTCTATAGGGGATAAAATCAAAGTGTTTAGTTCCGTTTATAAAGACTATTATGTCTTAAATATGCAACAGATTATAAGCTAAACGAAAGACCAGGCTATAGACCCAATTATAGACCAGACTATAGTCGCTAGTCTAGGCTATAATCTCAAAAATAGATTAATAGAGATGGACTATAGACAAGACTATAGTCTAGACAACACTATAGTCTGAATTATAGACAAGACTATAGTCTGGATTATAGACCAGACTAAAGACTGGATAATAGACAAGACTGGACTATAGACAAGAGTAGTCTGGACTATAGGACTATAGACAAGAGTAGTCTGGACTATAGGACTATAAACAAGAGTAGTCTGGACTATAGGACTATAGACAAGAGTAGTCTGGACTATAGACAAGACTATAATCTGGACTATAGACTGGACTATAGTCTATAGTAGACTATAGACAAGACTATAGTCTATAGTAGACTATAGACAAGACTATAGTCTATAGTAGACTATAGACAAGACTATAGTCTATAGTAGACTATAGACAAGACTATAGTCTATAGTAGACTATAGGCAATACTATATATAGTCTACTATAGACTATATATAGTATTACCTATAGTCTACTATAGACTATAGTAGACTATAGACAAGACTATAGTCTGGACTATAGACATGACTTTAGTCTGGACTATAGACAAGCCTACAGTTTAGACTATAGACAACACTATAGTCTTGACTATAGTCTGGATTATAAATAAACAAGACTAAAGTCTGGATTATAGACAAGACTGGACTATAGACAGGAGTAGTCTGGACTATAGACAAGACTATAGTCTGGACTATAGACAAGACTATAGTCTGGACTATATACAACACTATAGTCTGGACTATAGACAACACTATAGTCTGGACTATGGACATAACTAGAGTGGACTATAGACAACACGATAGTCTTGACTATAGTCTAGATTATAAACAAGACTATAGTCTGGATTATAGACAAGAGTAATCTATATATAGACCAGACTATAATCAGCACAATAGGCAACACTATAGTCTGGACTATAAACAACAATATAGCCTGGACTATAGGCAACACTATAGCCTGGACTATAGACAAGACTATAGTCTGGACTATAGACAAGACTATAGTCTGTACTATAGACAAGATTATAGTCTGGACTATAAACAAGACTATAGTCTGGACTATAAACAAGACTATAGTCTAGACTATAGACAAGACTATAGTCTGGACTATAGACAAGACTATAGTCTGGACTATAGACAAGACTATAGTCTGGACTATAGACAAGACTATAGTCTGGACTATAGACAAGACTATAGTCTGGACTATCGACAAGACTGTAGTCTGGACTATAAACAAGACTATAGTCTGGACTATAAACAAGACTATAGCCTGGACTATAAACAAGACTATAGTCTGGACTATAGATGAGACTATAGTCTTGACTATAGACAAGACTATAGTGTGGACTATAGACAAGACTATAGTCTGGACTATAAACAAGACTATAGTCTGGACTATAGACAAGACTATAGTCTGGACTATAGACAAGAATATAGTCTGGACTATAGACAATAATATAGTCTGGACTATAAAGAAGACTATACTCTGGACTATAGACAAGACTATAGTCTGGACTATAAACAAAACTATAGTCTGGACTTTAGACAAGACTATACTGTATAACCGATTATAGTCTTTAGTTTAAACTAAAAACTCGGCCATAGACCCCAAACTATACGTGACTTTAGTAAAGATCAAAAGTATTAGCTCATTTTTCTTTTTATTCTTATCCATTATCTTATTTTTTCTTTTAATTTCATTTTATTCTTAATCATTTAGGTTGTTTTTGTTGGCAATTTCCTGCGTGTTAATCCTATAGCCATGAAATTATTGGCCTATGCCATGGAATTCTGGTCGAATGGCACCCTAAAAGGACTCTTCCTAGAACATGAAGGCTATTTTGGAGCTTTAGGCTGTTTATTACAATTTAATGGTGAAATAGCAGCAGCACTCAATGAACCACAGATAAAGTTCCCACAGCAACAGATCCGTCTACTTCAACGCAGCATACAGAAGTCAATAATACAGATGCTACAGCAGCAACAGCAACGTCAGAAACAACGACAACTGAAACTCAAAGATAGTTATTAATTTAGTTTAAAGAGTGGTGCCTTTATTTAAGTTTTAAGCATTATATAAGTTAGTTTTAATTAAAACAAAAACAAAAACAGAAAACTTTAACCATATTAAACGCCAGCACGCTGTTTCCTCTTCTTGACACTGAGTTTCTTAATTAAGACTTTAATATAAAAGAAAGAAAAAAAAAGAAAGTTGATCAAAAAATTATAGGTTTTCATAAAGGGTTTACTTTGTTAGACATTTAATTATACTTACTATTATTATATAAACAAAAAAAATCAAAATAATTATTAACTATAAATTTAATTTGTATATTAGTTAGCAGCAATTATTTATAAAACAAAAACTCTTCTTTTTTTGGCTTTTAAAGGATTGTAAATAAGTTTTTTTTTAGAGAATTGTTCACACATATTTATTTAACTATTAAATACACAGCAAACAGACAGGTTTAATGGCACAAATTTAGTTTCTTTTTTTAAACAAAATATGTATAATAGCAAAAAGATAATATTTAAGAATTTTATTTAAAAATGTCTTTTAAGAAAATTTTGTACTTCAATTGTTTCCTTTTTTTCAAAGCACTTGTTTAAGTTAAAAAATGGAGAAAAACAAACATTAAAAAAAAGGTTTATAAAAATAAAGGAAGAAAAATTAAACAAAATTTCTTTAATTAATAAAACAAACCATTGTGTTTTGAAACAGGGGGTGGTAGTCTTTATTAAAACAAAAAAAAACCATTAAAAACATAAAAATAATAATTAGAATACATTCAAGAGGAAACATTATATATATGTATATGTTATAATAAAATGGCATAAAATACTTTAAATACGATACATTTGTCGGAATATATCACGATAATCCCGGCTCACAGCACAGTCTACTTTAAAATCAAGTACATGAACATTATGATCAGTGGCCACAAATAAATAACGACAATCACAGGCCAAACTATAACGGGTGATGATTTAAATTCTCCTCCTCCATTAGCACGACGTCTTCGATTGATTTGGGGAAAATACAATTGCATGTGTTTGTCTGGTTTACGTATATCATAGAGATTAACACGACTGTGATATTTAGTGCCACACAATACCCCATAGAGACCATCATATTCAAGGCAAAAGAATGATGAATCAAAAGGATCTTCCCAAATCATTTCATCACGATCCGAACGACGATCATAAAGACGAAAACTGGTATCAAAGTTGGCGGTGAAGAGAGTATTTTCATCCTTTAGTTTGAGATCATAAATGGATATAGTATTGGAATTGAGAGCCTGTTCGCAACCACTGGAATTTAATAGGTTTTTTGTTTTTAATTTTTAAGGAAATTAATAAAGTTGTGACTTGATTGATTTAATGGATCATGATTTTCTTCTTTTCAAAACACTTGACACTTTTTGTTATAATTGGAAATTTTTTTTAAAATTTTCTAATATTTTCAAAATCTACTTCTTCTTTAAAATCTTGTTAATTTTTCAATACATTTCCTTCAAAGGGATTTTTTCAAATTTTTTGTTACTTTTTCTTTTAAAAAGAAAATTTTTGTACTTTTTTCTAAACAAAAAAAATTTTGCTTTATTTTTACCCAGTTTGGTACTTTTTTTCTAAATAACACTTTGGTACTTTTTACTAAACTTAAGTACTTTTTTAAAATATTTTTTTAACTATACATCGATACTAATTCCTTGAAATCTGGTATATTTTGCAAAAAGTTGTATAACTAAACAGCTAATTAATGATTTTTAAAAAATTTTTCCGCTTGATACTTTTTGAACATTTTGGTACTTTTTTCCTAATTGTAGTACTTCTTCCTAATTATAGTACTTTTTCCTAATTGTGGTACTTTTCTTTTTTAACAGTTTGGTACTTTTTAATGATTTTGAAGCAAATTTTCTACTTCGTACTTTTTAAAATTTTGGTACCTTTTACCAGAATTTTGTACAAATTCAAACACTTGTTTTAATACGTACTTTTTACATTTTGGTACTCTTTTCTAAATAGCGTATGTAACTCTTTGTCATTTCCAGAGTAATTTTAATCCCTTTTCGGAAATGGTACTTTTTACTTTAATTTTGTAATTTTGGTACTCTTTTCACAAACACTGGTCTACAGACCAGACTATAATCTCGTCTAGAGACCAGACTATAGTCCCGTCTACAGACCAGACTATGGTCTCATGTACAGACCAGACTATAGTCTCGTGAACAGATCAGACTATAGTATCGTGTATAGACCATACTATAGTCTCGTTTATAGACCATACTATAGTCTCGTCTATAGTTCAGACTATAGTCTCGTCTATAGATCAGACTATAGTCTCGTCTATAGATCAGACTATAGTCTCGTCTATAGATCAGACTATAGTTTCGTCTGTAGAGCAGACTATAGTCTCTTCTATAGAGCATACTATAGTCTCGTCTATAGAGCAGACTATAGTCTCGTCTATAGACCACAGACTATAGTCTCGTCTATAGACCACAGCCTATAGTCTCGGCTGTAGACCAGACTATAGTCCTCGCCTATAGACCCAGACTATAGTCTCGTCTATAGACCAGATTATAATCTCAACTATAGAGCAGACTAAAGTATCGCAACCATATTCTAGAAAGAAAAGACATTAGTTTCGACTATAAGTTAGACTGAAGTCTCAAATATAGAACAGACTAGACGATAGTCCTAGTCTATAGTCTTGATAGACTAGTGTCGACTATAGATAAAGCTAAAGACTTTGCTTTGTAAATTGTTTACTTCATACGATAAGTAGAACGTATGTATATTCTCCCCTCCTACTAATAATGACATAACCTCAATACTTGCAAAAACCAGATAAGAATTTGTAATTTAAATTTAAGCTGCCTTTATAAGTTTAAGATAAAGCAAACATATTTGCACTAATAAACAACAAGAAAACTATTTTTAATGCATTTAAAAAGATAAAACAAACATTAGTCATCAAATTAAACTTTCCACTTATAAATTCTAACCTCAAAATTTTGGACTCAACTTCTGTTTTTTGCAAAAATGATGAATGAAATTTAAAAATAAATAAAATATAAGGAACTTAGTTAAACAGTACTCACCTTTCCAAGTCAATTTCTTGCAAGGCACGTCTAGAGGTGGAAGTATAAAGACCACCAAACAAACGATCTCCTGCAGCATTAAAACGCATAGTCTTATAAGAATGTTTTAAATTTTTCACCAAATCCAAATTAATCAAACCCAACTCCTCCTCACGACGCCATATTTTACCAAAATTATCCGTGCTGGTGGCATACATTTGACCAGCAAAGTCCACACAGCGTAAATACTCTTTGGGTGGGTGTAATTGTTGTTCATAGGCATAGCCATCTTCATAAATAAAACAACTGCCCGTTACGCGTCCGGCGAAAATGCTATCATTCTTTTTTATAAAGTCGGCAATGTCGGCACGGTTGCTGGTGGTGATTTCCTGATGATAACGTCTTTGCAAAGCTTCGGCCTTTAGGCGTTTATGTTGACTAAGGTAACCAGCATAGGAAACATATAGCCAATTACGTTCCAAATGCAATTTGGTGGCAAACATTTTGGAACGATGGAAATATTGCTGCTCACGATAACAGCCATTTAGCCAGTTTCTAGCAATTTTCAAACGATTGGCATAGGATAAATAGGAATGGGTGCTGGTAACCCAAAAGAAATAAATAGAATAAACGATAACTATCAGGCAGTTCCCCTCCCTTTTCTTTTAAAAGTTACTTACCGTTTTATTATGTCTGGTTGATGGCGATGGCCACACATTAGCAGATCCAGTGTTAATTTATGGAATATATTGTTATCGATTACATTGTGGAGTGTACGATGGGCCCGTGATAGATTTATTAAATCTTTTTCATCACAATAATTAAAGATTTTCAATAAACAATCGGTATTTAAGTCCAATAATTGCATTCCGCATTATTTAACTTTGCACAACTTTGACTGGCTTTGCTTTGTTTTGTTTACTATTTGTTGGTGTTTTTGCTGATCTGCTGGGTTGTATTATAATAGTAGTAAAACGGCATGTTAGCAGAAAAATTAAAGTTGCCAGATGGTTGCTACTGTTGAGAGCACACTTTACTGTAAATATGGTAAATAAAAGAGAAAATTACAGTTGGAATTTGAAAAAATATTGAATTCTAAATAAATAATAGAAAATTATAGTAAAATATAATAAATACAAAGGAAATTGCTTCCACTTAAAGAAAGTTTTTATAAATTTTAAATGTTTATTTAGGAAATTTGTTTAAATTATTAATTTAATAAAACAACTATAGAAAATATATATAAAAAAGTATTCCAATTAGATTCCAATCACAATTAATTGATTAATTTGACATATACTTAACAGTTTGAAGTAATTAAAAACAAATTTAATAATTTCTCTGAAATTTCTCGATTTATGAACTTAATTCTTTTTGGTTTTTGTTTTTTAATATTTCATCTATAAATCCTTTATTGTTTACAATTTATTCAATTAAATTGAAAAAAAAATTAAATCCAAAATCATTTAGTAAAATGGGCGTGACCAAAGTGTAGAAAATTTCAAAATTCTTTAGCTTTAAATACTTTAAAAATTCTATTATTTTTTTCTGTCTACTTTAAAATGTATTTTTGTCTTTACCAAAAAAACAAAAAACATTCAAAAGCATTCTAAAACGATTGACGTTGATAACTCCCAATTATGTCAACAATTTATTTTTACTCGAGAATCTTGGCGTACCTGCTCCAAATACCAACTAAATACCAAAAATTTAAACATTTACATAAACAAAATACTTTGCATAAAGATTATAAAGCAAATGCAACAATTTCTTCTTCTTACTTTTTTTAACGTAAAAATAGACTAAAAATAGGTTGTAAATGAAATTGCAAGAAAAGAAACAAAATTGCAAAAATAAATACACGCCAAATAAATAAAACACATTTTTATCTTAAGAAAAAAGAGAAAAGAAAAAATTTATTAGAATTAAAAACTTTTCAATATTTTTTTATTTAATACCAATTTTGGAAATTTTTATGTGCATTTTCCAAAACTTTAGTATTTAAATAATATTTGTGATAAATTGTCCTATTGTTTTTATCAAATTTTCAAAAATATTATTTTTTTTTTAGAAAATTTTTAAATTTCTTTTTTTATAAAAAATTTTAGATAAAATTTGTTTTATTTTATAGAAAATTTTTGATAAATTTATTTTTTATTATTTTCAATAAATTTTCTTTTTTCTTTTCAATAAATTTGATTTTTTATAGAAAGTTTTCAAAAAATATCCTTTTTGAGGAAGATTTCCGAATAATTTTCCTCTTTAAATTTTTCTTTTTTAAAAAAAATTGTAAAAAAAATATTTTATAGAATGTTTTCAAAAAAAATCTTTTTTACTTTCTATAAAAGTTTTCAATATTTTTTAGAAAAATTTCGATAATTTTCTTTTTTATAAAAAATTTTCAATAAATTTTCTTCTTTTTATACAAAATGTTCAATAAATTAGTTCTTATAGTTTTGAATAAATATTCTATATTTTCTTTTTTATAGGAAATTTTCAATATTTTCGATCATTTTTCTTTATTTTTAGATAATTTTCGATAAATACTAAATAAATTTTCCTTTTTTTGAAAAATTTC